AGATAAATTAAGCAATATTTTTAAAGAACATATTTATGAACCATTAATCACACATTTAGAGTAATAATTTAAAATTCTATCTAGTTTCAATCAACAAAAGAACAGTTGGGTTTCATGCTATTAGTAATTCTGATCGTATTATCAGGGATAATATCGAATTGAACTTAATGAAAATAATGCGATCCTAGGATTAGTAAATTAAACAGACCTCCGGCCACGTTTATACGATTAACCAGGTTTTGATAATTGGATTGTTGTATTAAAATTAATATTTTTTAAAATTCATGTTAGAGTTGATTAACAGAAGATTAAAAATAATCATTTGAGTTTTAATTATTTTGAAAATATTTTATTGCTGTATAAGATTATTATTTTTTAATAATCATATTTATTCAGAAATATTATCATCTTCATATTTATTTATTTACATCTTAAATAATATTTAAGTCTTACTTTAATCATCAGTAGTTTAAATTTCTTATGAATTATTAAATACTAAACCAAATTCATACTTTACATACTTGATATTATACTATGGAAGCATTTCATAAAAATGAGGCCTAGCTTTACACTTAATTACCGTTCCAAGTACCTACACGTGTAAAACCTTCTCCGCACCTAAATTATTTTAACACATTTTCATTTCATTGATGTTTTAATTCAAAACAAACCCATTGTTCTAAAGGTGTTATTTTGTTGAAATTTTGTTATTCAATACTTTTATAGAGCATGAATATTTTTTTTCTCTCTGAAAACAAACTGACCACCACTGACGTATTTTTTATATTTATTTGAACTCCAATTACGAGTCTGAAAGCGCAAACAAACCTATTTTTTATTTTTATCTACGTTTAAATCTTGGTAATTTTTTTTATTCAAAGCGGAATATTAGATATCTATACATATTTAACGTGTGTACTTTTTAAATTATCAAGCTATTTTTCCGACTAATAAACCACTTATTTATTTTTAAAGTTTACATTTGTCATAAGTATATTTTTATTAATATTTTTTATTATACTTAATGCTATCATATTATCAGAGATTGTCAGTAACATGTGTTAGCTGTTTTTTTTTCTATGTGACATTCATTTCTAAGGGAGAAGCTAATTCACAGAGTGTCGTAACTTGTCGTTGATGTCAACTAAAATGATATTGCGATTGATATGGGTATGAACCCAGATTCCAAGGTTATATTAGGATAATTTATAACTAGGATAGCAGAATAATTTATATAAATATACATACAAACTGATAATTAATAAGTCTTAGGTCTAAGGGGTGCCAATAATATGTTTAAAAAGTCACTGAAATACTAGTTATGTTAATATCATAATTATCTATATATATGAAGATTATGCAACATGAGATGAAATATATGTATATATGTTATTTACAAGAAAAACGTAAGATTTTGATATATCTTTCTCGAGATAATTATCCAAATACATCTAATTAAATAATATAATATCTTATCCTCGACCACCTTTCAATAAAAAGAAAGTTAACTTATTAGACAAAACCTATAATAATTTTATTAAATTTATTAAAGTTAGTGAAAGTAATTTATTGCATATTTTTTATTAACTCATTTTACACCACTTGAGTTCCTTTATATTTTAATTTCAACTTCTCGCAATCATTGTAGTTTACATTTTCTTTTTTAAACTAGATTTTATTAAATAATAAAATTGTCAGTTCCGCTACAATTTTTTTTATGTTTATGTAAAGAAATACATACAACAGGCTGTATATAAATATCATTAGATATATAAAAATAGCTAATTAAAATAATACAGTCATCGGCATGTCATACAAAGTTTCAAGACTGCAAATATAAATGTTTTTTAATTAAATAGATGTTTGCACATACGAGTATTATACTGTTGCTCTCTCAAAAATGTATTTTTTTGTTTTGTAACTTGAAGATAAATTTTTAAACACATAACTTTTAGTATGAAAGATATATAAAAAAAAACATCTATTTGAGAGAAATATCTCAAAATTAGTGAACAATAAATACTAACAAAAATATTAAATTCTCAAGGAAACTTTATTGGGATTTTTTACTTTATTACAAAGTACAAAAATATAGAATATATCATAATATCTACATATTTATGTTTCTTTATAATAATTATGTTCAGCAAACGCATTTCATGTACCTACTGATAATTATAGTATCTATATTCTTTGAGCAAGGGTTCAATTCAGCATAATGACTCATTTAGTAGCAACTTACGCGTTCATATAATTGGAATCGTTCCCATTACAAATCTTCAAGCACACTTGTCTATCCTCTTCATTTCCTTTCATTTTATTTTAAATGTTATCGTCGTTTTTAAACAAAGCAATGGTTTCACGATTTACTTCACAATTTAATCTGCTAGGCTGTCGAGATGGAACACATTTTAGTTAACCATTTACTAAATAAAGGGGTGTTATAAGCTTACTGTTGTTATACGTACATATGTTGTGTTTATGTGTGTAGCATTTAAGTCATATTTCTCAAATTGATTCACCAATTTCGATGGGGTATTTTCATTCAAAAGCCATTTTGATAAAAGCGGTTCTTAGCTATTTGTTAAATATCAGTCAATACATTTAAATGTATTGGCTGTTTTTGAAAATAACTTAAGGCACTATGTGTGTACAACTAGTCAAACAGGAATGTTATTTACTGAAGTATAAAAAAAAACATTTTTGATATAATAAAGTGAGAAGTTTGTATTACAATTTAATAATGAAAGAATAATAAATTTTAGAACATCGACCTTGGAATAAGATTAAAAGAGAGGTGTTCAAAAAAATACTAATTTAATATTTTTATCAAATTATGTTAAAAAAAAATTACAGCTGGCGGATACAAAAAATAATAAATAAGTAATATCGAGTAATATTCTGAAAAATCCGGGTATTTATTAATATAATTTTTGTTTTTCGTACAAAAAAGTGAATGAATCTTAGTTACCTTACCTTAAGTTGTTATCTTTACGACCTTGAAGGCTTGGCCGAGATGTACATATTTATAGAATCGTTTTTACTTGATTCAGATTATCATTAATCAATCAGCGATTGACTTAGTCTAGACTGGCATTTTCAATTAACTATCTTTTGTTTTATAATACTTTATCTTCTTAAATATCTAACATCTTCAGAAGCATTTCATACATAAAGTATATTCCTCCCTAGAGCAAAAATTTCCATTATAGTAATCTAAATATTTATTCTCACACGCACATGTCAGATACACAGGTAGACGCATACCAATATATTTTTTAGCAATTTCTGTATTAGCATTGACATATCGAATAGGTGTCGTCAACCTACTATTCAATTTAAGACTTCAAATTTACTTATAAAAGGTTATTCATAACTTATTGATCTTCAGAATAGATGTAAAAATGACAAAGATGAATTTACAGTAATATTGATGTACTGTTTGATGTCAGTGGTGGCCTAGTAGTTAAAAGGCCCGCCTCCCATGCATGAGGGTGCGAGTTCGATCCTGGCAAGCACCAATGTGATTTTATCGAGTCATATGTACTTTCAAAGAGTATTCAGATATCACTGATTAATGCATTCCCAAAGAGGGTTGATGTCAGGCAGGCGGCCGGTCGTAAAAACAATAATTATCCAAAACTATTCACAACATGTAAGGCAGCCCTGGCTAAAGCTGGGAAATTGCCAGGTAGAAGAAGATTGATGTACTGTTTCAAAAGGTCCTTAATTTTTAGTGCGAAAAAAGTTTTAGGAGTCCACGCGTGATAGTAAAATAAGAAATAGTTATAGTAGTTTTTATTTACGGTTTAATTAATATAAAGTCTAAAATTCTATTTTTTTATTATTTTATTTACATAAACATCTAAATGCTCTAATCACGAACAGAGTTACGTATTGTAAAAACATTATTTACTATATATAATAATTTGTTTATTTTAGGCCCAAATTATCGTTTCAAATTCAACAAAACCGTGCAAAAAAATACATTCGCGCAATTAACTAACAATTTAGAAGGAAACTTATTTTACTTTCTATTGAATTTGAGTCCAAATATAAATCTCAAAATAGATAAATGAGATTTCAGATTATTAATACTTAAAAATAAATTTTTTGTTGGTGTTTGACAACAAAACAATTAATTGTATTCTAAAATTTACAACGAGATCACAATATAAATCTTAATGATCTACATAAACTTATTTTGTTGTGAAGAATTCTAAATTATTAAGTTTTCGTCAAAAAAATAAAATAAAAGCATTTGAATTGTTAGTTATAATATCGCAGTTGGATTCCATTGATAAATATATATATTTTATTAGGTAGTCTCAATATTTCTTTTTAAAAATGAATACAATGAATACAAATTAAACATATTTTTACTATTGATGTTATTCTTGAAACAATTTCTTAGTTTGTAGCTACATTTAAAGACGTAAGAATGTACAAAAGAAATTCATAGCTTTGCTATGAACCAAATTAAGGGTATATCTAACTCGTTATTTCTTTAACTGCAATGTTTAAGATTCTATTCGTATCTTTGTCTTTGACAATTTTAGCATAAATATGGTCTTTACTTAGTGTTATGATTCACTCGGTTTATTATAATCCAATCACAAAGTAAACCTAAAATATGTAATTGTTATTTAAGGATACAGTTAGATATAAACTGAAATCATTTATTCCTATCAAAATGTATTATTTCTATATACAAGAAGATTACACAACAAACAATACAGCATAGTGTTACAAAATACAAATGAAATTTTTTATTTTGAATAAAATGTTATTTAAAACCAGTGATGTTACATGCTTTTTAACTTTTAAAATGTATAAAATGAAAGTTGCAACTAAAATAAAAACTAAACGCTCAAATTCTCATAATTGCTCTTGTAGTTGGACACTTATACAGAGTAACTGTTAATTTAATTACCGTGCTGGTAATAGAATTTTTAAGCGGTCCTCATATTATAACAGCAAGTTTGAATTCTTTGAAATGTTCACCGTCTACTACGCTTACATTTCTTGATTGTTAGTCTCCAAAATGCCATTCTAAAATCAGGTGAATAAAAGGCATAAATGAAAGGATTGATTGCTGAATTGAACCATCCCAACCAAGTTAATATATACATCAAAACAGCATTTACGTAATTACTCGGAATAAAAGGCGTTAGAATGTAATATAAGAAAAAAGGAAGCCAACACGCTATGAAACCACCAACAACTAAGCTAAGAGTCTGTGCTGTTTTGGTTTCACGTCTCAAGGAAGAAACTCTATTTTCCATGTGTTCTTTTACTGATAAATTTCTATTTCGATTGCTCTTATACTTAACATTGGCCTTAAAAGTCACTTCATTGTAAAATCTAGATTCTTTTTCGTTTCTATGTTTCGAATGTCGTCGCTTTTCGGAGCGAAAACAGCAAGGGCATTTTTTATCACTGTGAGTAGAACATTCTCCTTGTTGAGTTGAACTTTTAGATACTTGTTTAGAAGCATTTTGACGCAATGATAGTTTATCAGATCCTGAGTCAGATTCAGTCCTGATACAAGACAAATTATTCCTCTGCAACAAAATACCAATAAGTTATATGATATCCGTATATGATTTTGAAAATAAAATAAAACGATAACTTAAAAAAATATAGTCATCCGAAACAAAAAGAATTTGTTCTATACCTTTCCACATTTCGTTGTAGTACTGGCCAGTTGCTGGTGTCTTCGAGCAACAACACAAGATATCCTTGCGTAAACATACACCATGACGATCATAGGAAGAAAAAACGAACCCATAGCAGAGAACACAACATATCCAGGGTTTTGGTTATATCTACATACTCCACCCTGATTATGATCTGGTTCGTACCTGAATAAAAATAAGAAAACAATTAGAATTGTCAAATGGTTATATTATAATACTAACGAATTGAATTGTACTCTTACCATCCAAACATAGGAGGGCAAGTGATAGCCCCAGCAGCAATCCATACAAACAAGATCATAGTGAGAGCCAATTTTTTAGATCTTCGTCTGCGTGAATATGTCAGAGGTCTAGTAACTGCTAGATATCTATCGACGCTAATAGCGCAAAGGGAGAGAATGGATGCTGTACAAAGAAGAATATCCAGACTTATCCAGATATCACAAAGAATCCAGCCTAATTCCCATTTACCTGTTGAAGGAAAAAACAAGAAAAATATTTTTATTAGTATTACCCAAAACTATTAGATATTTTTTCTTATTTGCAAAACTGTAAAATAATTTTATAGTATGTATTTATGCACCTATTACAAGAATTTGAGTTTTATTTACTAACTACGTGTCGTTTCTCAATTATATTACTATGAAAAACAAGTTATTCCATGTAAGTTTTATATTTCATATTTTTAAAATATTAAGGTTAGTAAATTAGACTCTCGTTTGTGTATAATGTTTAAATTACTAAGAAAACAATTAATATGCTTACGTACCGCTAATATGCACAGCAATGGCTGGCGGCATTACGAAAATGCCAACCAACAAATCAGCAGCAGCTAAACTAGTTACAAAGCAGTTGGTGACAGTTCTAAGTCTTTTGGTAGTAACTACTGCAGATATAATTAAAGTGTTTCCTATTACAGTTACTACTATCAAAAGGAAAAGTATAGTAACAACAGTAACTTCAAAGACATCATAATCATTTATGACGTCGCATATATCAGTTAAATTGAGATCCTTTGTATTATTACAAAATAATTGAGACAATTTTTCCTCAGTATCATCTATGATATGGTATACATTTTGTGATAGATTGATTTCTTTTTCTTTTATGTTTTCTATAACTAGTTCGGTTTCTACACGACTTGAGTTCCATTTCAATATATTTCCAAAAATTTCCAAGTCAGATACGGAGATCATGGGATTAAACTCTTCGCTGAATCCGATGTGAGTTCATTTTCTGAAAGAAAAAATAACTTAGTCACATAATCAAGATCATGTAATTTTAACCAATTGCTTTGAAATAAAAAAAATATTGATACTGTTCTATTAATTAGATCTTGTTAGTTAATACCATAAATATTTAAACTTCCATAGAAAAACTCATAACCTTAATATATTTGGTAGATTTGTCACAAAATAATCTCAATATATATTCGTCCGAAAATATAAATTTTATTTCGGCTAAAGAAAGAGAATTCGATTTGAAATTTGTAATTAGATTAGTTTGAGGATAACTGAAATAGGAATTACAAAAGATTAATGGAACTAACTTTTGCAGAAGAGATATTCGGTTTCCAACTTGAACTTTATTACAATACAAGTTAAAATATTAATTTGATATCTCGTTTCTGCTTTTGCTTATTTTGATTTATTGTTTTTAATTCGGGAATTTCTGAATTTTATTCGTTATACGCTATTCATTGGTTCTTTCGCATTATTTTTCTCTTAGATAGAAAAATAAGAACACTTATTTTTGTAGGTCAGTGTTTCCAATTAAAAGTTTAGCTTCCGTAATACATAGAATGGTGTTTTCAAATATGGATATCTATTGTTCTTTTATTTTATATTTGTTTTTATTCCGTATTTACGAACATTTTCATTCTCAACTCTTTTAATATATTTTTTCAAACAAATAAGCCCTAGCCATTTCTAGTGTTATAATATTCAAGAGTCTTTATAAAATATAGAATCAATATGAATTAAAGCTCGAAATAAATGTTTTTTTAGTAAAAATACAAATAAAAAATAGAAAATATGAACTATAATAATTTAAACATAAATGTATTTTTTTGTATCTCAAGCGTATTTTAGTAAATATTAAAATCTTATATCTAAGATTGATTTATTAATTCATTCGTGTTGATGAATGAATTTATAAATCATTAGCCGCAATCTACCCATTACTGGACATAAGCTTGTCCCATAGGACGCCGCTGAACTAGATTCTTAGCTATTAGCCTCAAATCTTCTCATGTTACTTTGCAGAAATTGTCGTTTGACCCAGTAGTGAGATGACCTAGACTTCGTATACGGGTCCTGCAATATATGTATTTTTTATGTCTTTATTCTCTGAGGCACAAATTTGTTTTGAATTCGATTCTCTATACCTAAAGAAAGTTCATGCATAGTTGTCTTCATAGCTTACTGGATAACATGAAACTTTCAAACAAGCTACAGTTTAAGATGCCACTTTCTTGTTTAATACGCTAGCTTGGAATATTTGGCTTCTGATTTCGTAGTAAAGACTATGAGCAGATTTTACGGTGTTTGCCAAACACTAACCAGACAAGCGGGATTCGACTCTTAATGTCTTCGAAGGTTTCTACCTATCTAAAGAACTTATTCTTGTGAACAAACACAAATTGGAGGGATACCCCATTCATGGCGATTCAATCCTCGGTCAACGTGCTGACTTAGAAACAAATGTAAATTTTTAATAAAGTAGTATTTGTAAAATAGTGAAACAAATAACAATGCTTTACTATTCACTGTCAATAATCATAAATCGTGGTAAATTTATAACCATTTTATATTATAAATTTCAATCAAAACAATCTGGTTCATTTAATTGTACAACCGCTAAACCGCATAACTGTGTAAACACATTATTTTATTATTATTTACTTATTTTAATTCATAATCTGTGTATATAAATTTGGGTTTTTAAAAGTGAAGTCAATAAATCGTTATGAAATCTTTATTATTCTGTTCCTTCTTATATCCAGTATGTAATCATTATATAACATTTTTTTGGGGAAGAATAAACAAATCGAAAAACGAAATATAAAGTCTTTAGAATTAGTAGGGAAAAAATGTTTTGCATATTATTTTGTGAACCCATTTTTAAATGTTCTATTTTAATTTATTAAATATGATGGATTGTTATATCTAAACAAAAATATATATGTGACACTATTTATATGCCTATACATCATCTATGTCTGTCTGAACTTGTCTCTTGTGTGTTGAACTATCTGACCTGTTTTTAAAATATTGGCTCCACATATTCTCTCTCGAGCATTACGGTTGGAAACATGAGAATACTTAAGTTTTAATACTGAAAATTTAAATTAAATTGAAACCTAAACTTTAATTGAAATGATTTTTTTAAATTGTTGTTATTATTTACAAATATTTAATTTTACATAATACACTCATAATTTCTAATGGATCATAAAATAGGAATTACAGTAGATATTATTTGTATTACTCACTGAACAATAAAAATAAAATCCATATATATGTACATGTGTATATATTGAACATCTGCATGTTTTGATAGACGCGGACATTATTATAAACTATAGATTTATTTAAAACATTTCATTGAATTTGAAGCTCAAAGGGGTTTACTTGTTACGAATTAAAAATAAAATGAACTTATTATTACTATCTTTTCCTAAACATATTTAGATTAAATATATGAATACGACGTATGATGTTATCTTAGTACAAATTATCAGATACGATATTAGTACAATATAAAAAATTCAACACAAACCCCCCTTTTTGAAATTGTTCAGTGTACATGACTTCACAAAGAGTTAAGAATTCTAAAATCTAAATCTTACGAATCTAGAGGCTAAGTTTCTATAGGAGAGTAATTTCCCTTCTTGTGTTAAACACTACTGAGGCTGACAAGTGTCAATAACGGGTGCCGCGCCTGCTTCCCAAACTTCTTCCGCGACACAGATTACCGACTTCGTCTCCCCTTAGATAGGGTTGGCAACAATAAAACATCGATTTACACACACCCTTAACTATAGAAAGCATTAAGATTTATTAAAAATAACTACCATTATGAGCCATACACAACTTTGTCCGCTATAAGCACATACCCGTAGTATGTAAACTCGTAGAATGTAAAAAATGTGTTATAATTTCATTACCTTTCTAGCAGTAATAATTGGAATCCTTGTCAAGTAAAATATTAACCTACAGTACGTGCAATTAAGGCTCTTTTATTATTTAAACCAATGATATCGATTGCCTCCACAATTGGTGAGCTCATGATTGTACGAAAATGAATTGAACGGTACACACATGATTGAACTAAAATTAAATAATTGTCATGAATATAATTTCATAACCTATATTAGGAAACAGAATATATTTTGGTAAATTATATGGTACCTATTAATTGCCAAAATTAAGGTATAAAAAATCCTGAGCTCTTATTTTCTTGAAATTTTAATTTACATTTAATTCTTTATTATAAAAAAATCATCACGCCTAAAAAAGATGAGTATCTGAGTAAAAAATTATAATTCTGTTCGTATGTGAGTTCTTCGTGATAATCCTTAATATGCATTTATATAATAAGTATAATGTATGATGAAACGGATGTCAAATAAATACGGAACGCAGTAACGCCATGAAAAATAGGGAAAGAAAATTAAAGATTTTCCCTATTAGATGAGATCTAATGGTATTTTCAGTGAAAGTTATTAATATGTTTATGTTGTACAGAAATATAAATAGATTAATAGAAAAATCTATGAGCAAAATTTAAATTAATAAATAAATGACTTATTTACCTTTGATTAACATATATGTATTTTTAAAATTTTGCTGTTTTTCTTAGTTTTAACTTCATTTGCAGAGCTTAATAACGTGAATGTAAAATTTTCAAGCAATTTGTAAAAAGCGTAATTTTTATACTCAAATATAAACCACGAAACAGGTGTTAAATTACCAGCAATACAATCACATGTTCCATGACTAATGAGTCCATTTGTTAAATTCATACGTTTATTTAATTTAAGCTTAACGTAACATACATTTAGACATTTCTCTTACATTTGAAGATAAGGTAATCACTGCCTGCCGCTTTTCTTATATTAAAGATATAAATATAAGTAACTGTGTATAATTAAGTATTAGTAAAAAGATTTGCTTAAAAATCAAAGTTTTTACGAGACCTTATGTTGAAATGAAAAAGAAAAGAACTTTCTGATACAAGCAAAATATAATGAGGAGAACAAGGAATTAAACAAGGATTAAAGATTCCTACATTACATATTCTACTGCAATGACTTTGAACAAGAAGGCTATTGGTCATATGTGTTTCTTAAGAAGTACTTTTTAATCATAGGCTAGCCTCTGACTCCGAAAACTGTAGATAATTAAGAACAAGTACCAACACATCCTCAAACTCGTAATAATTAGAGTTACCTTATAATTGTAAAATATCAACATCAAAAACTGCTATTTATTTATTATCACAAAAGATAATCTACAGATCTATGTAAACGTGCCCTTGAAGGTACTTTTATAATGCTTCTTTAAGCCTGAGTATTGTAGAAGAGTTGATAAAGCGGCTAAAGTAATATTATTATCAACGGCAAAATAAAATACTTTTGCAAAAAAATATATTACATATATATTAAGTACAAGACTTACTACATATACATACATTTATATAGCTAGCGAAAAATATCTATAGAAAAGGTTTCTTTTACAATAAATAAAAGTGCCACCTATTAGGTTTATGTTGAATGATTGATACACTAACTGGAGTCTGGTCACTGTAGCTTAACTGGCAAAACAAATAGAAAATAGCACTTTATTTTCTGGCTTTCAGGTTCCATTCCTGCCTGTATTGAATAATTTTAATATTATATCTGTGTTCGAATTTTAGTCCAACATATCATGTACATATATAGTCCAACATAACATGTGTCTATTTAAAGCTGTATACAATTTGAACCAATCTACAATAAATTTGATTTTGAATTTTATTCATATTAATTAGATAAGAAAAAAATTAAGATATTTGAACCGTTTATTTATGATTCATTAGAAAAATATGTTTTTTTTTTAATCATGACATTTAACTGAACACTTTTTAATAATATGAAAAAATATATATTGCTATAAATTAAATAATATAAAAGATAAGTAGTTAACACTAAGAC